AGATTCGGCACTATTTCTAGAGCATAAAAAAAAAGCTGAAGTTTCAGAAAAGTATAAGAACGTGAAAGATAGCTGTTAAAAGTGGCCCGAAAATACCTAATATTGTTAAGGACGGAACAGATACAATCTTTCAGAATAAGTCACATTAAACCAAAAAAAGCACTCTCCAGCAGCTTTTGGATGGTATCAATTTGCAATGAGGTGAGCGTGAAGCAGATACGTCGGTTTTGCATATGGCGCGAACATAATCTCTGTTTAGCAAAGTCCAAGAGAAACCTAATAAGTCAAATGAGGGAACTAGTCAGTTTGATACAGGATCATCCGCTCATAAAAACCCTACAAAGTTTTTAAAAATATTTTTGGCTTTAGGAAGATATAGGAAGAAATTTACGATATTTGATATAATCAAAAAACTTGCCGCCCAACGTATATTCAAAAAAAACTAATTAAACACCAAGCTTTTTAACCAACTATATTTCCAAGAATTTTCTACGCAGGTGCGCTCTAAATGAATAATTAATGACACAGTGTGTTAATGTTCAATTTAATGTCCAATAAAATTCATATCAAAAAATTAAAAGAAACTTACAGAAGTCTCACTCTGCATTTGTAGTTAGTCAAAATTCAATTGTTACACTAGAAGAACTGTAGAAACTGACTTCTTAACAATAAGACTAACAAAAGTTACAAAATATCAAGAAGTTCTATTGAGCTAGCAGTAGACGCGCTGTTCCCCTACACAAAGTGAGATTAAGCTCGTGTTATTCAGTCAACAAACAATGAATTTAAAAGAAACCATATATTTCTATGCATTTATTGCAATTCGCTTTCCCTTCAGGACCATTGGTTGCATAATCCAGAACCTTTAAGGCACTTTCTCGCGATTGTTTCCTTTCTCTGAAGCTTAGCTCATAAGAAAAACATCAAAAAACTTCCAGAGAAAAAAATACTGGGAACCTCCAAATTTTCCAGAAGTATTCACCTTAACATCAAATTCATAAGTTGTAAACCTTCCCCTTCTATAAATTTCTGACGATTAGGTGCATACATCAGCGCAGCACAAACAGCATCAAAAAGATTCTCCATATGTTCTCGTTCATCCAGACTGCCAGGATCACGACGTTTATAAGATGCAAGGGCCTACAGGAAGATTACACAAATAAAGATAATTGTTCTAGAACAAAATTGTTTCTTATAAAAAATAAAAGATACCCTAAGAAGAAAATCAAATCCATCTATTTTCTCAGTAAGTCGCTTCCTTGCCAATTCAGATGTTTGAAGCAACAGAGCCAGCAACTCGCTCGCGTACATTTTGTTAGCATCTAAAGTACCACGCTGCGTGCCTCTACGAAGCAACCAGGTGAAAAGACCTTGTTCGACGCAAACGTCTGCATACTCGCTCCTTAATTCCAAAACCTAAAATTTCTGAGGAACAGAAGAGAATAAACTAAAGATTAGTAGAGCGTGCCTTAAGAGTACTTATTTCTTAGCACCTAAAATACTGAACTGAAGGTTTCCAAACCCGACCAAATTAACAAACATTTTCAATGACTGAAAGCGCGTTATGAATTGCATCTGCTTCATCCTTAATAGTCTCATCAAGACGTTCAATACTCTGTTGTACGATCGTTTCCACCAACTGACCCTCTATCAAAGCATCACAGAGGCGCAAAGCACCACTGCTTTCTTCATTTACTGTGTCAACGTCTGTCAATTCCTAAAGATGAGTCTCTTGTCAACTAACACTTTTTGGCCCATTTAGATATCTAACGATTAAAAGCCGAAAAGACAAACTTGTAAAAGATTTGCTGTGGCAGCAATAATGTCTGAGTTCTCATGGCCCATCAATTGCAAAAGTGTGGTTACCGCATTAAGGTCAACCAGTACCCCGTAAAGGTCAGGCTGCGTTGCAAGAACATGCATCTCCTAAAAATTGAAATAACTTTTTTACAATTTTCTTGAAGAAAAATGCCTACAAAATTAAAAAGCAAATCCACATTGAAAACCCTGAAAATTTTTGAAATTAGTAAATAACAAATTCAGGTCATTAAAATAAACTGTTCTAGAACTTTTGCACAATAAAATAAAACTTTTACTTCAAGAGAGACGAATTTCCCAGTTCACCGTAATTTTCAAAAGCTAAGCATGCATTTAACAACTAAGACGCTAATATTCAGGCATATGTGAGACCGGTACAACTTAATGAGACGTAACTAACAAAACCAAAAAATTTATCATTTGCAGCCTGTCAAAACTGTCTTCGCTAGTAAACATGATGATTGAGAAATGTTAACCTGTATTGCTTGATTTAGATCGATTTCACTGTCCATGAATTTTGCCGGTTCGTCACTGTATTTGATACGCAATTCACGATTCTTCAAACTTTTTTTTTCTAGCTAAAGAATGCAACAATTAGGGTCCCAAAAACGTTGAAAAGTCTCTCAAACCATATAGGTGTTCAAAATCTGCTTAAAAAAAACAGATAACCATAATCGAACGTTATCACTCAAACAGGAACGATAAAATAAACATAAGCAAAAGTACTTGAAGAACTATATGTTTCACAGCCATCTCATCCACTACCGCAGTCTGAGAATCATCTTGCTCTAATGCCGCAAGAATGTCTGCAATATTTGAAGATTCCTTATTTGTTGTAACGGTTTCGCCATTTACACGTCGCCTCTTTTCAGCAGGCTGGAAAAAGATAAGTTAAACAAGCAAACGACCTTTATAGAATAGCAGCACTACATCTGTTGTAAAAGTGAGCAAAGACAGTGTTCAAGAGCTCATGAGGAAAAAAATAATTTCCTCCAATCAAAAACAATGTAGCAGGAGTAAGTTGCCGCAGTAGTACTGAAAAAATCCGAGACTTTTGTTCAAAATCAACTCCGTATTACCCGCTACCATCAAACTGGGAAGAATTTGTGGGATTTTTATCAAGTAGTAATAATGCCATATAAAAACAAGTCTACATATAGCTATTATGACATAATAATTGGTTTTACTACCATACCATATACAAGTGTAAACAACCAAAGAAAACAGAAACCC